CGGCTGGAAACGCCTTGATCACCTGCAAGACTATAAGCCTGTTTGCCCTGCTGATTCTGTCGGGTACAAGAAGTTCATCGCACAAGAACGGGTCTTTAAATTTCTGGCAGGCCTAAATGTGGAGTATGATCCAGTTAGGGGTCGAGTTCTGGGTATGGACACTCTTCCTTCACTGTAGGAGGCATTTGCCTATGTACAGAATGAGGAGAGTTGCCGGTCTGCTATGATGTCCCCTGTTTATACTGACCGCTCAGCATTACTGTCTACTCCTCAAGATGGCCTCAGCCCGACTCCCATCCCTCCGTCTGCTGCTAAGGAGTCTGTATTCTGTGATTATTGTAAGAAGCCGCGGCATACGCGTGAGACGTGTTGAAAGCTTCATGGGACTCCATCCGGGGGTCGAGGTGATCGGTCTGGTTCTAGAGGAGGTCGGTCAGGCCAGTCTAGAGGACGTGGCTCCTATTGCAGGGCTCATCAGTCTAGTGCCGTTGATACATTTGATTCTAATTCTGCTTCCGTTAGCCAAGCATCTGATGCTGAGCTTCAGAATGCTTTGTGCCAATTGCTGGACTGCCGGTCTTCTATTGCTTTCAGTACAGCTTCCTCGTCCTTTGCCCACTCAGGTAACTTAGCCTCTTCTCCTTGTGTTTTCCTGTGTCATAAGTCTTTGTCTTGGATTATTGATTCCGGTGCCTCAGATCATATGTCTGGCTCTTCTGATCTTTTCTCTGCCTATAAGCCCTCTTCAGGTCAGGACAAAGTTAGGATTGCAGATGGTACTGTTTCTTCCATTTATGGGAAAGGTTTAGTCCAAGTCACTCCTACCATACCTCTATCTTCTGTTCTCTATGCTCCCAATTTTTCTGTTAATCTGTTATCCTTGAGTCGTCGTACCCAAGATTTGAATTGTAGTGTGACGATGAACTTCTTGTACCCGACATAATCAGCAGGGCAAACAGGCTTATAGTCTTGCAGGTGATCAAGGCGTTTCCAGCCGTTGGTGAGGAATGTGAAATACTGAAGAACAGTTTGCTCCCCCTGAAGAGAGCTTTCAACAGAGCGGCGCAACTCAAATACCTGCGAGAAATTCCCTTTGCGAGAATAGGTGGCAGCCACAGCATCTCAAACATCCTGGGCAGTCTCCATAGACAAGTAGCTCTCACCAATTTCTGGAACCATCGAAGGAAGAAGCCAACCCATAAGCAAAGAGTTGGTAATCTCCCATTGGTCAGAACCCGAGTCAGCGGTGCAAGGTGTCTGTATCCTACCATCAACATACCCCATCTTCCCTCTACTCTTCAAAAATATGGTCAAGCTTTGAGACCATGCTAGATAGTTCTAACCATTAAATAGAGGGGTGGTGATTTTCATACTAGGGTTGGGGTTATAAGGCACTCAAGCAACCACCGCCGAGTCTAGCAGCGGAGGAAGGGGAAGACGAGGACACGGTGGAGCGGCAACCATGGCAGCCCCAGATGCGGCCGAATGGAGTTCCAGAAGACGTGGTGATCGACGGCGACGAAGTTGCTGTTGTCGACATCGCCGGCGAAGAAGATGAACTCGTAGATGCATTCAACGTCGTTCATGGTGACGTAGAGTGCGGAGGAGAGCTGGCCGACAAAGCTGAGGAGAACAACAAACCCTAATAACACTGCTACCATCGCACTCGCACTCGCAGAGACCTTTATTTCTCTCTTTTTGAAACTTGCTCATATCCGGCACTGTTCAGTCATTTCTTTGCTTCGTCTATGGCGTAAAAAGTCGTGGGAGCAGCGTTCAAGAAGGAGACTAGATCGGCAGCGACCGAGCTTCCTTGGCTCTGCTCCAATTTCGCCATTGGAGGAGCTGTGATTGGAGAAGCGAAGGTTCGATATACCATCAGACGGCGAATTCAATAGCTCCTCCAACGCCAGGCTTTTCCTTACAGCAAGAGATTTGGAGTTTGTATTTTGGGAGGATGCTGAGATCTGCATCTGATGCACCATCCCGACTATGACGGTGATGGGTATCACGTGCTAGCAAATACTTCTGTTCTGCCGTAACAGATTCTAATGCCTCCCTCACCTCAGCAATCTTAACATTAATAGGGAGGAGCTAGAATGGTTCCTGTTGAAACAAGTGGTGGGTTTATGGCCAGGTGGTGAAGTGGAGGTCGATGTCCTCGGGCTTCCACTGGCACCACCACCCTTGGAGATGGAAGTTGTGGGAGACCCAACCACTGTCCTTGTGGGACTGTCGATGATGATTTTTTGCTAGCCCCGAAAGATATCTGAGTGTGACTGGGCTGGGTTCTAGCCTGCTGCGGCTGTTGGGAGTTCAAAGCCTCAGGAAGGAGCTGCTGATGATGTTTCTGGCGGGAAGGATCAGGAAGAAAATGATGAGGAAAGTGATGCTGAGGACCTGCCTGAGGGAGATGAGGACAGTCAGCGGCTGGTTTGGACATGTGGTGGTGAATAAGAGTGTAGAAATTTAATGTATAAAGAGAAATAGAGAATTGTATTATTGATTGATTTATATTGATCTTATTATCTGTCTATTACAAATGGTTCCTTATATAGATGTAGGTGTAGTGGATGGTGTGTAGTGGATGGTGATAGTGGTGTAGTGGGTTAGGTTTAGTGGAGTAGGTGAGGTGGTAGTGGTATAGTGGGTTAGGTTTAGTGGAGCAGGTGAGGTGGTAGTGGTGGTAGGTGATGGTAAATTCTAACAACCCATAAGCAAAGAGTTGGTAATCTCCCATTGGTCATAACCCGGGTCGGCAGTGCAAGGTGTCTGTATCTTGCCATCAACATACCCCATCTTGCCTCTGCTCTTCAAAAATATGGTCAAACTCTGAGAGCATGTTAGATAGTTCTGACCATTAAATAGAGAGGTGGTGATTTTCAGACTAGGGTTGGGGTTATCGGGGTTGGGGTTATCAGGCATGGTAGTAGGTATAATGAGACTCTCACTCCTAGGTGTTTGAGAGGTAGGGGACACACTGGTGGAATCTGCCATGGATACTAAACTACCAAACCCGCAACAAAACTAGTGGCAATCACAAACCCGTAAGGTGGTGGTGAAAGAACAGGCACAATGACCACTATAAACGCATAACAAAATTAAGAAAACATAAAGCTTTTTTTTTTTTTTAGACAAACAGTGTTGAAGATCAAACAGGGCCTATACACGACATATCAGAGGAAAGACCAAATAGAGGTTATACTAGAGATCGACTGAAGAGGACAAACTGTGTTGACAGAGGAGATCGAAGAAGACAGAGGAGATCGACGAACTGAGGATCGACTGAAGATCGACGAAGTGAGGAACTGACCAAGCAGAGGATATCGACTGACGATGAGCGACGACTGACGCTTCGAAGAGCGACGATGGCATAGGAGAAGTCGATTCCAGCAGATGACCAACCCAGGTAAGTTTCGAACCCTAGAGTGATCGTTGGTGCTAATTTCGACCAACAAGGGTGAGCCGAAACCCTAGACAGGCATCAACCCACCCGAAACTACGTGGGTCTTTGTCGGCGTGAGCCGAAGCCCCTCAGGGTGGAGTTAGCGTGAGCCGAAGCCCCTACGGTGGTGACTGGTGGCTCCGGTGGTGGCCGGTGGAGCCGATTTGTAATAGGAACAGTATGGGTAGCTAGGATTAGGTATTAGGGTTTAGCTCTGATACCATGATGATTTTAGAGAGTAACTAGCTTAGGGTTTGATTAGGATATCATCTCCTATTTATATTAATGAAGATTAAAGTTTGTAAAAATTACAAGGGAGCCCTGAGGCATAGAATAATTACAAACTAATAACTCAGATAGTAATATGATAATATAATATGCTAACAGAAGCATCGGTACATCCCTCTTGTGTCTAACAACACATGTTTGACTTACCCCAATCCATAATTTTGTAATTATTGTTTTTGCTAGACATCTAACTGATTGGTGGTGTTGAAAGCATGTATGTACTCATTTGTGTTTCTGCTATAAAGTTGTAAGTGGTACTTTCTATTGTCATTAATCTTCTGCAATTGTTATGACATATTTCGATACACTTTTTGTAATTATACTCTGATTTGATACTTAAACAGTTTTAGTGCAAGTTTTTTAATGTATATTTATATATTATTTCATGCACCTTGTATTAAATTGAAATTTTGTCTATTGGCAGTATATATGTTCAGACTTTAGTATCTCATTTTCTCTCTATGTATACACACAATCTCAAATATACAAGTGATATATGCTTGCTCTAGTAGACTATAACTTTAGAATTTCAAAGGGATTATTCTCATATAGTTTGAGTGGCAAGATTGGCTATAAGACTCGCAAACGTTTCTGTTTTCCATTTTTCTTTTTTCTTTTTTTCATTATTACTATTTTTTTTAATGTAGTTTAGACATGCTTTGATCAGACAGGTCTGGTAAAAATATGTCAGATTTGAGTACAATATGTAGGAGAAAAAATAGCTTTAATTTTGAGTAGATGAAAAATAGCTTAACTCAGCCAGAAGAATGATGGTCTCAGTTCACTGATGATCTTTGTTTCATTTTGTTTCCCACGTTTCATGAAGTGTTTTTTAGACTAGTCATAAATTTAATTTGTCATCAAATTTATCTACTAAAATATAGCATTTTATAATTTTAGTGGCTTTTATCCTTGACTATAGTTTAATGTGTTGTGTGCTATGTGCCATCTCCATAAGGGTAATTTGTATTTCTAATTTTTGATTTCCAGTAATCAGTAAGATGAAACATGCACAATGGTTTGAATGACAGGACCATACTATAAAATATTGGAAAATGTTATAGGTCTCAAATTTTCTACCAAATAAATAACCAAATGTCTCACATGGTGTAGACCCCACACTTTTGTGGATCTCACACCTATGTGAGACATTAGGTCGTTTATTTGGTAGAAAATTTGGTATCTCTAACATTACTCTAAAATATTTGTATGTTTGTATATATTAGAGTTACTCATTTTCTTTGTCATATTCATTGAAATCATTCAGGGTTTTTGGGTTTCATGGGTCTAATTTGGTTAACTGATGCTCAATCGGGGAGAATGAATTCAAAGGTGATGAGTGCGGGAAGAGACAGACCAAATTCTACTCTCTTTTTTCCCCTTCATCTTTGTTGCTGTGTTTCTAACATTGATCTTCATCTAACCCACTTTTTTCTTTGCTTTCTTTTTTGTTGATGTTTTGAAGTAGGGGTGCTGCTTGATGGCACGGATTATTCAATGGCAGCTAGACCATTGCTGGTGGTAGACTCTCCACTCCACTTGCAGTAGTGGTAACTGCAGGTGTATGGTTATTTTGTCGATCATTTGTAGCAGTAAGTTAATTTCTGGTAAATGCATACTAATGTTTATATAATTCAAGAAAAGCAAGAAGAACAACTGTGGAAGGAAATATTAAGATATACATAATTTAGAAATGTCACTTTCTTCTCTCTTTTTTCCCCCTATGGTTTTCATAGTCAAACACTGGAATCATGGAATTTAATCTTTTGTCGGTGCATATATATGTAAAGCTGAATCATATGATATACTGGCACTCAATTTTGAAATATCTACTAAACTCGTAAGAACTAGTTGAGTTTTTGTATGTTAAATGTATTGAATTTATCTGCATCATTTTGTGTGCTTTTGTACTAATTGTAGTGACTAAAGCCATAATTTTTTTTTTTTTTTGTACTTGACTTCAGAACGATTTTTAGGAATGTGGCATCTGCAGGGTTGATGTCTAGGTATGTGAACTAATGAGAAGATATGTTCGCCTATGTTTTTGTTGTGTCCGTATTCGATTTTTTGAAAGTTCTGTTTTATTTTAATTGTAGTAGGTATTTTATGCTATTTGCTTGGTTTACTGAAAAGAAAAATATTAGAGAATAAGTAACAAGATTGTATGTTGTATACTCTTGTATAGGGCAATCGAGGATATGAGTTCAATCAAACTCCTCCCTCTGTGAAATGTTTAGTGAACAGGCAATTGATGAAGGTTTTTTTTAATGAAAATGAAAATAATTAAGTGTATCCCTTTTGAACAATTTTCAGCTATGTTGTAGAGTACTCCCTACTAAAAATGAAGTGAAAAAAAAAAGGCATGGAACAAAGATTACTGCATCTTTGTGTGATATCCTTTCAATTTTGTGAAGTTCGTGGACCCTTATAGGTTTGGTTTTCTTAGTTTTGCAGCAAAAATCAAATGAAAAAGAAAAGAAAAAACACTATGTATTTGAGGATTGAGCATTGTGAAAGGGGCAGTTATTTATTTATTTTTTGTGTGTGAGATCATTTTGTTATTCTTCCTCTTATTATTACTAATACTATTAGGATTAAATTATGGCCATTTTGTTTATTTCGTTCCTAAACCATTAATTTAATCTATTACGGTCCTGAAGTTTATGATTCGACTTATGTAATTCCATTGAAGACGCTCATCCAAATTAGTAATGGTTAAAAATGTTATTTCATATTTTGCAAGACTTTAAATTTTATAACTAAACTTTCATCTTCTTACTTATATGATATTGGACAACACACAATTAAACACTTTTCATCTTCTCACCTTCTTTCCCATGGTGGTTATGGTGGGAGAGGGTGGCAAGAGAGTAGGGAGAGAGAGGGAAGGTGAAGGAGTGAAGAAGAAGATGGGTGTTGTTTGGTTGTAGGGTGTAGGTTGTCCAATATAGTGTGAGTTGGAAGATGAGGTTCTCAAATTATGAAATGATCCTTTTACTTGTTAGGTTTGTCTTCTATCATTATTGATTTGGATGTCGTCTTCATTTGACAACATGAGCTAAAATTTTAAAATTGAGTGATGAAATGGATGAAATTAATAATTTAAGGATGAAATAAATAAAATAGCTATAGTTAAAGCATAAAAGTGAAGCAAACCTTATTATTATTATTATTTGTGGACACTTTCTTGATTGCACTTCGTTTTTATTTTTCTTATAATTGTTTTTTATTATTTAAAGTTATTATTATTAGTATTTTTAGTAGTAGGAGTTCAATGTGTCTCAAAAAATAATTTAAGGATGAAATAAACAAAATAGCTATAGTTAAAGCATAAAATTGAGACTAACGATTGTTATTATTTGTGGACACTTTTTTGGTCGTACTTTCTTTTTCTTCTTCTTATAATTCTTTTTTATCATTTAAAGTTATTATTATTATTAGTTCAATGTGTCTAAAAAACAATAATGAAAAACAGAAGGAAAAAAAAAATGACAACTTGATATTCCAAGTGCTCTACATTTTTAAAAAACTTAAAATTTTGAACTAAAAAACGTAGTACTTTATTTCGATCAAATATTTGTGTATTAAATATTTTTATGAGTCAAATATATCCCTCAAAACCATCAAATTCTCTACACCACTCCTATAATTTTTAGCAAGACATTTTGTTTTGGGGATCACATGACAGGATGTTAGCATGCATTGTGGAGGTTTTGCATTTCCCTTTGTTTATATCATGATACCACTCCTATTTCTATGTATATGACTAGATAATGAGTGTTCTATGCTTGTTATGTGGTTCTATTTGATAGTATATTTGTTAAATATAGTTGAAAATTTAGAATTTTTACGTATGGAGGCTGGTTTACTTCAATACTCAAGATAGTTGGTACGTGTCTATATGTAGTAACTTCGACTATAATCTGTTCATATTGATCATGAGTGTTTGATTTCTTCATCTGCCTATTGCATTGTGCATTTGGGTATATTTTGTTGGAATTAGGAAATAATGATATTATAATTATGGTAGTGTTGGAATTAGGAAATAGTGATATTGTAATTATGTGTATAAAATCTGTGATTATGTTGATTACAGATTTAATGCCTTTTTTGTCGTCATTTCCTATGTTGTTTGTTTCCTATTTTGTAATATTGTTTCATTATAAATATAAGGCTCTACCTCATTCATAGGTAAGCCAAAACAATTATTTTCATCCTTTTTGGTATCAGAGCCAAAACATAGAAACCCTAGACCACCCCCTCCTCCCTGTCGGCCCCTGTTCTTCCTTGCCCAGTAATTTCTTCATTTTCTTTCTTCTTCCTCCAGCAGCCGACAGACCTTCTTTCCCCTCTAGACCACCTGACAGCCTATCCCACCACTGCTAGACCACCCGAAACCACTTACCCACCCTCCTATACCCCTCGGCAGGACTGTATTTACACTTGCCGAGGGCCTTACTGCCAACCATGTTTCATCTTGGCCTAGAGTACTTCGACACCCTCTTTATGGTGGTTTGAACCCTTTTTCTCTCTTTTACAGGGTGTATTGTTGATGCTTTAAGCACTTTTTTGAACCTCTTTTTGCCTTTTCTTTTTGTGGGCTACTAGGTTTATTCTGTAGCATTTAGCCATTGAGTTTTTTTTGGCTTTTTTGGTTGTTTACTTGGACTGTGTTGCTATATTGCTGTCTATTTCAGCCCTCATCATCTCCCCATGGATAACTCATCTTAAACCATTGCTATATTGCTATATTGCTGTCTATTTCAGCCCTCATCATCTCCCTGTGGATAACTCATCTTATACCATTCCTACTGAGGTATCTACTGCGGTCTCCACCAAACCTATGCCTATTCCAAGTAGTGATTTTTCTCTTTCCCATCACACTCCAATTCATCATATTACTAGTGTGGTGTTGAATGGGAAATTTTTTGTTGCTTGGAGCCATTCCCTTAAACTCTATCTTGGGGGAAAGGGAAAGGCTCATTGGTTTTTATGTACTATTACCCCGCTAGCTGCGACAGACCCTACACGTGCTCTGTGGGATATCGATAACTACACTATATTAAGATGGATGTTCAATTCCATAGAAGATCAGATTTATATGTTCCTTTATTGCAATACAGTTCTGAGTTTGTGGCAGGCATTGTCACAGATGTACACTAATGTTCACAATGATGCACGTATCTTTGAGCTTTACCAGGATATAGCCCGGGATTCTCAGTCCTCTCTTGGCCTTTCTGTTGCTGAATTCTTTGGATATCTTCAGGCTTGTTGGGAGGAACTTGCTTAATATGAGCCTTTGACTGACCTTCCACCACAAGCCACCTCCTTTGTGTCCAAGAGGCTTGCTTGACAACACACTTATCAATTTTTCATGGGTTTAAACTCAGAATTTGAATTGAATCTCTTCGAATTCAAATTCTAAACACATCACATGCCATCTCTTTATGAGGCTTTTGCCATTATTGACAGTGATGGACGTCGCCGGCGATTGGTTCATCCTAGTGTTCCTTCAGTCCCTCCAGTTTTAGCAGATCAGATGGCTTTTACTGCGAGTTCTGGTTCTCGGAGTTCCATCGGTTCTGTTACTTGTCATCATTGTGGTGCGCCTGGACATGTCAAAGCCCGTTGCTTCAACTTCATTCTGAGTTGAGGCCACGCCCTTCCCGTCCTCGTGGTCCTGCTCTACGTGGTTCTGGCTTTGCTCACACTGCTGCTTTGGTGGACGTTACTCCTGCTTCTGAGCCTCCTAATGTCCCTAATTTACAGCAGTTACAGACTCAGATTGGTCAGCTTCAGGCTCAACTTGGGTCCCTCACCATTGGTTCACTTGGTCCACCATCCTCTACTGCCACCCTTGCTACAGGTATTTCTACTTCTTTCCATGTTCGGTCTGTTAGTCCTTCATGGATTTTGGATTCTGGGGTTGATGATCATATGACTGGTGAGTTTTCTTTTCTTTTCTTTCCTCTCCTAAACCCACCACTGCTGCCCAATCTGTGTCTTGTTGAAGGTTCTTGCTCTTCTGTCCAATATAAGGGTGTTATGTCTTTATCCCCTGATATCACTTTATCTTCTGTGTTGCATGTTCCCAAGTTTGCTTATAATCTCTTATCTGTTAGTCATCTTGCCAAAACCTTTAACTGCGCTGTCATCTTCTTACCTTCTTCATGTCTTTTACAGGACTTGAGTTCGAAGAGGATTTTTGGCAGGGGATATGAGCGCGACGGGCCATACTACTTTGGGGATCCAGCGGACTAGCCTTCTTCGACTTTAGCTAGTTTTCAGGCGTCTGTTTTGCCTCCTTCTATATCTTGTGTTTTTTCTATTCAAACTTTAGAGTTATGGCACGCCCGTATGGGTCTTGTTAACTTTAAATATTTATGTCAACTTTTTCCTTTATTAAATAAAACTTGCAAGGATTTTAAATTTCATTGTGTTACTTGTGAGTTGTCTAAACATATCCGCACTAGTTATATACCACATATGACATGGGCCCCTAGTGCTTTCACCTTATTCATTTTGATATTCGGGGTCCCTCTCCTGTTCCTGCTTTTCGGGTCATTGTTATTATGTGACTTTTATTGATGATCACACTAGGTGCACTTGGGTCGATTTACTTCACCACAAGTCTGATGTGTTTTCCATCTTCGTTCAGTTTTTGCAAATGGTTAAGACACAATTTCGTACAGTTATTAGGAACATCCGCTCTGATAATAGTGGGGAATACATCTCCAATGAGTTTCGTTCCCACCTTAATTGAATGGATATTCTTCAACAACTTACATGTCTTCGGACCCCTGAACATAATGATGCAGCTAAACGTAAAAGCTGTCATATTATGTTTGTCGTACGTTGTCTTCTTCGTGGAATGCGTGTGCCTAAGTCTTATTGGCACATGGTTGTTCTTACTGTTGTCTATCTCATTAATAGGATTCCTAGTCGTGTGTT